GATGTGTCTCCAAGCTGAGGGATATCTGACTGCCAGCAAGCCACCAGAAGCTAGGGGAGGGCATGCAACAGGTGCCTCCTCACAGCCCTCAGAGGGAGCCAACCTGCTGATGCCTCAAGTTGAACTTCTAGCCTCCAGAACTGCGAGAGAATGACTTTCAGTTGTGTGAGCCACCCAGTTTGTGATATTTGTTATGGCGGCCCTAGGAAACCGCTAAGCTGCAGAGGTACTCAAAAGAGTCATGAAAGTGACTCCGCTCTGGGGTAAGGGAGGGAGAACATCGAACCAAGGTTGTGGGAGTGCTTCTGGATGGGCTGAGGGAGTCTGGTTCAGATAGACAGGATAGACAGGCCCCAATCCCTCCCTGAGGTTCTTCGGAGATAGTTCCAGACCAGAAACAGCTCACCCTCATCAAATGCCCGATGCCATGGCAGTCTCTGGTGCCCGCCAGGGGACACGGGAAAAAGTAAGATTTTAAGCCTAGTGTCACCTCCATGCTAGGGAGTCATTACAGCTTTCTTGGGTCTTAGCCACTTTGGGTTTACTGGGCTTCTTCCTGCATTTAAAAAATATTTAAAATATTTTATGACTTCATTGGTGTAAAGACAAGTATAATCTATGCTGGGCCGACAACTATATATTTGTTATTATTATATTCATTTTTCTCCTGATTTTAAAAGAAACTAAAATTAAAACATTTTTCGTGGGCCATTGAAAGTGGTGTGGGCTCAGCCTCTGCACCTTCCGTGCCTCTGGGATAAGTCAGCCCGACCCCACAGGTAAAATGAGAGATCCATCAAGGATGCAAAAAAACTGACCTTTGCCGGGTGATATTGCCACCAAGAAACTGAGTCTTAAAAAGAGCTGTGAGCGAGTGTGTTACGTTAAGCTCTTGCTCCAGCCTTTAAAAGCTATGCAGTTACTCCACAGTTGCATATCTGGTGTCAAAAGGTCCACAGTTGCCTTACACTTTTCCTTTACCTCAGGATGAATTGAAAATACTTCCAGGTATAGATAGAGAACCATGCTACATATTGGCTGTCACCACCTGCAAGCACGTGCCCATAAATCCACACCCCTTCTGCTAGGGCAGCTGTTGTACTTTGTCAGAAGCCTACATAAAACATCCCCCTATGTGTTGTATTATTGGCCTTCCTGATTTACTGTATATACAGTCTCCAAGTTAAATACCAACAGAAGCACCTGAAAATATATTCTCTTGCAACCCCTGTCTGAAAACTGCATTGCCCAAATAATGTCTGCTCATTCATCACTTACTTCCCAATATCTGAGTGTCATTCTCCAAAATATCCCTACAGCAGTGTCTTGTGAAACGCCAGCCCAGAGAAGGGGAAGCAAAATCACCAGCTTCAAGGCCCAGGCATTTAAAAAGAGAGCATGTTTCAAAAATGAGGCTAAGCAATTCACACAGTCGGTATCTGGCTTCCTTTAATGTAATATTGGAATCCTTCCTTGAAATGCACACCTCCTAGCAATAGGAGCGGGGATATCAAATTGAATACATAAATCCACATAAATTGTTCTCCCTAGAATTCATTAGGAAGTGTTCTTGTTTATACAGAATTCCAGTTGATTTCTGTGAGGGATCCAGGAGAATAGATTTCTACTCAGTGACAATCCACCGGAACACACAAATCCAGACATAAAACTGATTTCTATGTGATAGTTCGGATCTGTGTCCCCTCCCAAATCCCATGTTGAATTGTAATCCCCAGTGTTGGAAGTGGGACCTGGTGGATGGTAACTGGATCTTGGGGTGGTTTTCTCATGAATGGCTTAGCACCATCTTCCCTGGTGCTGTCCTTGTGACAGTGAGTGAATTCCTGTGAGATCTGGTTGTTTTTAAAAGTGTGTGGCACCTCCCCACTTCTCTCTCTTGCTGCTCCAGCTATGTGACACACTGGCTTCCCCTTTACCTTCACCATGATTCTAAGTTTCCTGAGGCCTCCCCAGAAGCTGAGCAGATGCCAGCATCATGCTTCCTGTACAGCGTGCAGAACCATGAGTCAATTAAACCTCTTTTTAAAATAAATTACCCACTCTCGGGTATTTCTTTATAGCAATGCAGAACAGACTAATATACCATGTTACAGGTTATCAATATGAGAATAGAAAGGGAATAGCAGACATGTACTTATTTCATAGACTAATCTAGGTTTGAATATCAGCTTTACATCAACTAGACAGACATTTTTGAGCCCCTTATCCTTCATCTACAAAATGAAGTCAAAGCCAGTGCAGGACAAGGTTGACTGGGAATTCAACCTCCACCCCCTCCTTTCAAACAGAACCCTAATTTTGTTTAGGTAACTAATCATCCAGGGCTGGCTTCATGGACAAATGACAGGGCCTCTTGCTCAGAAGGGCCCTATGCTTGGGGAAATGCTCTGCTATCACCATCTTGAAATTCTTAACAATTGTATCTTAAACTTCTGGTTTGGAAGTAAAGTCTGATGAGACAATACAGCATGCAGTGAGTGGAGAAGATAAACATAAAATGCACATCTGATATCTTAGCCATCCCATGTGCTAGTTCCGTAACAGACGTACCTTCTACTTGCTTTCACTCTTGCTGGACTGCCATGCACTGTGGCTTCACTGGAATTTGATGATTATGTTCTGTATCAACATGTCTGCGACTGAGGAGGGAGCAGTACTGATAGTCCTGAGTGGCTATACTTTCCATTCCAATCATAACTTGCTTGGACACAGAAAGAAGGCGGTGGCATTCTAAGAAACACAAATGATCAAGGGAACTTGTCATAGCCTTTCTCACTCATGTTACATTTTTGTATTACTCAAACACTTATGCTGAAAATGACGGAAGGGAAAGATAAGGCAACCCATGGTTCTTTTATTTATTTATTTTTAGGTCCTTCCTTATTCACAATGAGTAGGAATGTAGAGTGTTAGCAGAATGTGCACATAGCAAGAAATGAAACAAAAATAGTTGAATTAGTTTTGTGCAGTATTTCCCTGTTTGGTAAGAATAAAATACTTGTGCATGTATGAGCTACAAACTATGAATGATTTTGTATCACAGATTCACATAGGAATTAAATTCCCTTATATATGTCAACCACAACCCTGGCTCCAAGCATGGGAATGATAGCACCTGGGGTAATTTTATCCCACTTACTGGTGATTGGTCCAGGACAGGCATGTCGCTCAATCAGACCAATGAGAAGCTTGCTAAGGACTCCTGAGAAAGGTCTGTCTTCTGCTTCCAGAACTGACTTTCTTTATTGCATCTTTCTACAAAGTGAGGATGAAGCCAACATGCAGAAAAGGGTCAAGTCACAAATTCATTGCAAAAAAAAAAAACTTATTAAAAGAATTTGTGGAAAAATAGAACTAAAGCTTTCAGACCAAGCAACCTAAGCACTGGTCCCCTGATGCGACTTCCAGGAATGTCAACTATTTCATTGTTGCTAAATCCTGTTTAAGATGGATTTCCTGTAACTTCATGCTGAAAGCATATTGACAAATGTTTGTTGACTGAGTGCATGAATGTGCACAGCATTGTAATCCCTGGCAGTGGACTGGCCATGAAAAACTTCATGGGGCTTAAAGAGGAGTCAATCTGACAGCTGAAGAACAAGGAAAAAGGCAGTGCAGGAAGGAAGGGGCATCCTGGTGTGTGCAGGGGTGAGAGGCTGACAAACATTAGGGGTCAGAAAGGGACATGGTCCGGAGATGCAAATGGTTCATGCAGGGAGAGCAGGGAACATGGAGTGGCAGTGCTGGATTTTCAAGGGTCTGGGACTTTCTCAAGGTGGTGCGGTTAGTTGTAGGTGAACCCTATGCTATGCTTAGAAGTGCTTGCAGTGGTAAAGAGATCTGGAGCCACACAGCCACGATAAGATCTTAGGAGCTACCTCCTCATTTACACAAAGGTATTTTACTGAGATATTAGTAGCTCAGTTTGAGTTTGAGACAGAGCCCTGCCCCTCACTAGTGTAACCTAAGTAAGTTACTTTATCGTTCTGTGTCTTGGGTCCCCGAATAGGAAAATGAAGCAGATATAAGCAGTACTTACCTCTTCCTTTTCCAAGAGGCTGGTGAGGCCATCCAGTGTTTGGCACCTGGCAGGTGTTGCATGGATGTTGGTTATTATCCTTTGATGGCCTTACGTTATTCCTTGCAGGGGGAGATTGTTTTTCTTACTTGGGAGTCCAGGTAGTCCACCATCCCTACACCTTCTCTCATCTTTTAATGTCTGGAGACTGCTGTCTGCAATTGTAATGCACTCTTTCACCTTCCTGATGCCCACATTACATGTAGCTTATTTCTGCCTTCCTGATATTCAAGCTGAAGGAGGATGATGAAGAGGCTCTTGGGACCAAATTTCACACCAGTCAGTCAACCTCTCTGACTATCCCAACAGAGACTGGAGTGGCTTGATTGTACAACTTAGAGTTTGAAGAGGAATAGCTAAAATCCACACAAGAAAAACTTCTGTGGCTGATTTAAGCTGCTTTACACAAATTTTTCAAGTAAATAAAGCGTATTTTCACAATTTTCAACATATTGTGGAATACTGTTCATCTTGGTGATCTGTTTCCCCAGGCCACATTTGGTATTACCTCCCACAGACCCTTGCACTTCCTTGGAATCAGGTATGACCCTAATAGGGACAGCACATTTTCTTTAGTTTATTTATTCATATTAATTTAATGCCTATTGCATGCCGGGTACCATTTGGTGAGCTGCCTTACACAGTTATCTGCATTTTATCTGTTATGCATGATATAACGGATGATCTTACACGTATGGACTTGTGCATTTCAAATAGCTCAAAGTAAACTACAGAGGGAATATGCAATTTAAGCCACAAACTACTCTTAAAAACTTTGCTTCAAAACTCCCACCAAGAATTGGACAGTTTGTAATTCCACTGATTTCTGGCCTCTGGATTAGTCTAATTTTTCTGAAGTGGCTATAGAAATGTAATTGCATTCAGCACATCATTACCACCATTATTTATAGCTTGCCCTTAAAAAGTAAACAAACTGGAGAAACTAGAGAAATTCTAAACCACCAAGCCCCCAAATTTCCATGAATCTTTATATTAATGTGATAAAAGACATAAAAGTTCTTGGCTGTGGTTTAATACTAGAAGATGATTCAGATGCAGAACATCTGACAAAGATTTAAAAAATTCTTTTTTAATGAATATGCAGATTAAGCAAGCTCAGTACATAAGAACAAAATCACATATGTTATCAATTATTCAAAACACACAGTACAAATAGCCAATAAACACAGGTAGAACCCCTCAGTGTTGTTGGTAAGATTATGGGGGTGGGGAAAGATTGCTTAGAGCTGTTATGTTAATTAAGGAATAAAATGGCTCCATCTGTTTACTCCATCCCTTTTTTGAGCTACCAGTGCCTTTTGCTGTTTGGTTCTAAGTTGACACTGAGCTAGGGAGCCGATGCCTAAGTCCCTGGCCTCAGCTGGTTTCCACATTGAATAGAGCTTGGAGAGGAAGTCTGGCAGGCTGAGTCACAGACTCTCTCCACCACTCTTAGGATGAGACGGGCGGGATGGCATGGCAGGATTGCCTCCCCCCACGCGGATGTAGCTGTGGTTGTGGGTAAAATCTGTGGGGTCATCTTGCTTTACTTGTCCACATAATTTGCATGTAGCACTAACCCCATGTAGTACACAATGTAGCCACCAATAGTCAGCTTTGGTTGCAAGATCCTAGAAGAGTGGAGTTTGGGGTTTTTATTTGGTGTCTTCCTTAGGGCCCAAACCAGACACACTTTTTGCTAACTGCTGAGACATACATTAGACCACAAATTGAATATATTTTATTAAAAACGGGGGCTTCTCATGCATCCAGCCTTTACACATGAGCAAGTGACTCTTTGTAGCTTTCTTTATCAGCTCATGTTCCCTAATTATGGTAAAAATCATGCTATCCAAGGTGAAGGTGAGCATAAGAGTAGGGAAAATTTAAAATGCATTATGTTCATTACCATGCTTAAAGCCATTAGCATATATCAAAAGTCTTTAATAAAATAAACATCCCGTTGCTTTAAAAAGTCAGTGAAAAATCATATTATCCTCTCTTTTGTTTTTTCTATTCTCTTTTCTGGAGGCACTAAGAAGCAATGGCATATCAAGAAGGTAGTCAAATTTCAAGAGGAAAAATTCACCGAGCACCTGTCACATGGTACACACAGTCCTTTATGCACAGAGTGCCCCGTTGCCTCTGTCAGAGTCCACAAACCTTCCCTTGCTCTCAACTGGAGGCCAGGAGAATTATTGTTCTTTCTAGCCCTGTGATGAGATGAACTGGTTATCCCATTCTTGATTTCTTCCACCACCCTTCCCCGACGCCACGTCCACCCCTACACGAAGCAATCCTTGAAAAAAGTGGCACATAACTGCAAGCCTCATCCCACACAGGAACCAAGGAGAACAGCCGTTGACAATTAAGTGGTTCTCTAAACCACAGCAGGGCTCAGGGGCAGGAAAGTGTCAGGTGGCGGGGCCTGTTTAATCAGAAGAAAAAGACCAAAGTCATGACAACAGAATAAATATTCTTTGCGATGAACCTGGGGTAGTGACTCTGAGAAAAAATATTAAGTCTTACCTCAGCTGCAGCATTCTTAGGAGTGGAGAATGGTCTGAGATTGGGTTGCCCCAATTTATCGAATTCTTTGGACCCATCATTATCTTCCTCCAGAGATTACCACACTCAAGAAGAGGAAAATATCTGCAGAGTGGTTGGAGCGCAGAGGCATTACTCAAATTGCAAGGCAGAGGAAAGTGATGAGGATACTCTCTCCTCTCCTCTCCCCTCCCCTCTCCTCTCCGGGAGGCATGGAGCTTCCTGAGGGGAAGGGTGAGGCTGTTTGTGAGGCATCAAGGGTGGAGCAAGTGCTAGGAGCCAGCGAGCGAAGAGGGATGGCGGGACATACCCCAGGAAAACAGGTGTCATAGGTATCCGTGTTTAGTTGGTTCTACCTATTTAGGCTGCAGGAGGACAGCTAAGTGGATTGCTATTGTTAGTTGTTTCAACTTTTATTTCTCTCAGACTCTAATTTCCCTCTCAGAATCACCTGATCTTTCAATAAAAAGCCCTTCATACTATGCCATCTACACTGTCCATAATGTGCATGTCCATTCCAAACCATTTTTGGGTGAAAGGCATTGAAATAGATGCCAGTGGCTCTGGAGAGCAACAGAAATACACATGAGAAGCTCAAGACAGTGCGATGCAACTTCTTTATTGCTTCTGTAGGTTAGTGAAGATTCCCCTCATGATGATATACATAATCTAAGTTATATTCACCTTAACCACCAAATAAGATTGCAACCCAAGACGCTGTGAAATTCTTCTTCCTGCATTTATTTGAAACAGAAATCTCTTTAAAATCATCCAAATGTAATGGTGAGAGGGCATGTGGAACACTTGAATCCAGGGCACACAGCAGAGGTAGTCAAGAGTAAGGTAAACAGTGTGATGTGGATCACGGAAGCTCAGCATGCTGAGGAGCCCAAGATGCTGAAGCCTTCCTTCCATACTGGGAATCATCACAAAAATGCAAACAATGATGGTGAAACTCACTGAGTGGTTACAAAATGGTTACTGTTCTAAATGCTGTCCATGTAATAACTCATTTAATAAGCAAATATTTTTGCAAATCAAGTGCAAAGAGAATAGAAGAGTTCTATGCATTGTCCCTAATTTCCCTTGCAAGGCATACTAAACATTCAAATGAGCTTCTTCCTTGGTATAATTTATTATTTACTAATCATTGATGGTATCCTGAGAAAACCAGAAAGAGCCAGCCTCAGACCCAGTGTAGCAAGACCAACTCTACTAGATTCTACTAATAATGAGGTTCCCATCCCATGTTCCCAGGATCACAGCCTATTGCAGAGTGAGTACCAGTCTCTCAGTGGTATAGATTTGAAATAGGTTGAAATAATGTTCTGTTGTTTGAGCAACATAAATTGAAGCAGTATTGCTAAATAAGCTATCTTTTAATCAAACCAATTTAACTACCTTTTTCTATTTACAATCCATTAACTTTAAATACATAGTATTATACAAAACATAGAAGTCATTAATTAAAATTCCTACAATCAAATTAGGCTCTGTAGGTCTGGGACATTTAAAAGATAATGTATAGGGGTTGCCATAGAAACTCATCAAGTCATAATTCTGTACCTTTCTGAGTGAAAGCCTAGAGAAGACAAGCAATTTGGGGAGATACCAGCACCAGAAATTAAGTTCATCTGTGACTTAAGCTCTTCGTGATTTTGTTTACCAGCTATTCACCATGTGAATGAAAAATAGTAAAAAGACAAAAAAGATTCACATTTCAAGGCTCCCTAAAATTGCCAATGCCATTCTATAGCTGTTTCTCAGCACAGGATGACATGGGACTAGAAGGCTGAGTGATGACACTGTCATCAAACAGTGAGCTCCAAGGAGAAGCGTAATTGTTGCTTCTCAATGACAGGAGGCGGGTGGTTCCCTAGGGGAAGGGTTCTGCTTAATCCTTAGGTTAGAGCCCAGCTTCAGCTCAGTGTCACAGGTCAGTTACCACCCTCCAGACTGAACCATACACCAGCATAGGCTCCCTCCTCAGCACCTCTGTACATTCAGAGGTCTTGTATGACACACTGAGAACTCACACCCTTCCAGGGCTGCTGGAGATCATATGGCTGACCACCAACTTTGATTTTAACTCATTTGTCAACCAAGACACAATTGTTGAACACTTTTTAGGCTTTTTGTGTAACTCTTTGCTTTCTCTCTTGCCTCATTTAGACGCCATTGAATCCAGGTTCTCTAAGACTGTCTTCCCCGCTGTCACACCAGGCCCGGTTTCTCTGTTTAAAATACTTGTATGAAAACTGAGAGATTATAAAATCTCCTTCCTAAGTAGACAAGTTGCCTAATGTGGTCAGGAAATGTGAACAACCGTAATAATCATAAGGACATTATTAATGGCAGGGATCTATGTCACTTAGCTTTTAAAAGTCCAGAAGGTGAGGACAATAGAATCAATTGTGTGACTGTTATCAAGGGTGCTGTGTTATGTTATTTTCAGTGGAGGCAACTTCTCCCCTGCCTGGGAACGTTGGTGGTTGGGGGTCTTATGCAAAGTCAATGCTGACTGAATTGTGACAAAGTGAGGGCCAGAGAAGGGTTCTCTTTTTAGATGATGTGTAAGTGTGATGAATATGTTTAGAATGTAGATACAGATAACAGATTAGCAAACAAAGTAAATAATTAATTTTTTAGTCATCGAGACAATTCCAGTGTTTATTGGAGTTTCACTGGATTCTATTTGATTTGTTAGGAATTTACGTAACTTTCTAACTTTGCACTGGAGAGTTATTTATGAGGCAACTAATGAGGCCTGGATAGGGTCATCAGTGCTAAATTAACTGGCCACACCTGAACTAAAGGATTCTACCTGGGGGCAGTCTACTTTTCAACATAAACAACAGCTACGTGCTGATAAGCCACAGTGGTAATAAAAGGGGTTTGATTCTATAAATGGCATATGTTGCCTGCTACAAGAAGGCATGAAAATGTGCCTTTTCATGCCAGGCACCTTCCCTGATAATGGCTCACTTTCCATCTTAGTTTTTACAAAATTACCTCTAGTCCCCTGAGACCACATTCATCAGAGGAAAGTCTTCACTGAAATTAGCTTGCTATAGAAAGTGTTAATGGCTACAGAATATTGTGAATGTATTTAATGTCACTGAATTCTACACTTAACAAATCAGTAATGATAAACCCCATGTTATGTATACTTATAATAAAACTGTGATTATCAAGGTTTTTTTAAGAGTGATATGGTGGAAGGTGTTAGGTTGTTCACACATTGCTATAAAGAAAATACCTGAGACTGGGTAATTTTTAAAGAAAAGAGGTTTAATTGGCTTGCAGTTCTGCAGATTATATAGGAAGCATGACACTGGCATCTGCTTGCATTCTGGGGAAGCCTCAGGAAACTTACAATCATGGCAGAAGGTGAAGGGGGAGCAGGCATGTCATATGGTCAAAGAAGAAGCAAGAGAGGGAAGGCGGAGGTACCACACACTTTTAAACGATCACACGTCACACGAGGATTCACTCACTACTGAAGGACAGCGCCAAGGGGATGGTGCTAAATCGTTCATAAGAAACCCACCCCCATGATCCAATCACCTCCCACCAGCCCCCACCTCCAATACTGGGGATTACAGTTCAACATGAGATTTGGGCAGAGAAACACACATCCAAACTCTACCAGGGTGCTAGGGAGGGAAAGTGGGAAAGAAGGGTAAGAGAGCACTGAAAGGGAAGACAGAGGGGAGGAGAGGAAGGGATAAAGAGAGGAAAGACAGGGGGAGCAAATGAGGGAGGGAGAGAGAGAAAAAAAGAGACTGATGAGAATGAGTTTCAGAGTATAGCAGAAGTTTTTTAGGTAGACAAAAATGAGAGGTGTGGCAGTAGGTGTTTGTGATGCTTGTCCGCCTAGCATCTGAACACCCTTTCTCCTCTGGAGGAATCTCAAGATGAAGCTGAGCCTGGCATTTGAAGAATAAAGACTCAGGCATGTCTAAGAGAATACTTATGCCTAGGATTCTACATCTTGAGGGAGGGACTAAGATGCAGGTCAAGCCAACTGTGGACTGCTCTGTTGTGTCATTTTCTCTGGTTCTTGCCCATTTTCCTTTTTTTTTTTCCCAGCCCTCATGTTAATTCTGCAATAAAATCCTTCTAGTAACTTTTTTTCTACCGAAGTTACTCAATGTTAGTTTCTGTGGTTTGCAATGCTAATACAAACAGAAAACAAATAATTACTCCCACACTGTCAAATAATACTTGAAATCAAGGTCAAAATAAAAATTCAACTTTTTAAAAAAACAAAATATAATATTTACTGAACTGATAGCCACAAATCTCCCTTTGTTGTGGAAAAACCAGTTGACCTTTCCCATTTACAGTCAAGCAGGGGCTTGGGTTGTTAGAAAATACTTTTCTATTCTATCACAAAATCCAAATTCCCTAGAATATCAGAAGGACTGATTTCATGTTCTTTTGCTTGCTCTCTTTTTGTTATGGCTTCTTAAAGGTTGTAGTAGGAATTCCCAAAGGGGCTGTCTTTTCCCTAAGAGTCTTACTAATGAGATGCCAGAAGCAGGGACATTAGTTAGTGGACCCTGGGCTACTCCACCAGAGTGAGACAAAAAAGGGCTGAGTAGGACCCAGGCTCCAAACCACAGAGCCCCATGCTGAGAAGCAACCTGATTCCCACTTGGGAGGGCAGGTGATGGGATGATTCTCTCCTAGCAGAAAGTCTTCATCTCTTTCTTTGAGTTTATCAACCTTGATACTCAAGACAGTTGAAGAAATCGTAGAGCCCTGATATGGTTTGGCTGTGTCTCCACTCAAATCTCATCTTGAATTCCCACATGTTGTGGGAGGGACCTGGTGGGAGGTAACCAAATCACGGGGGCAGGTCTTTTCTGTGCTATTCTCATGGCAGTGATAAGTCTCAAGAGATCTGATGGCTTTCTAAGACAGAGTTTCCCTGCACAAGCTCTCTCTTTGCCTGCTGCCATCCATGTAAGACATGACTTGCTCCTCCTTGCCTTCCACCATGATTGTGGGGCTTCCCCAGCCATGTGGAACTGTAAGTCCCTTAAACCTCCTTTTTCCCCCAGTCTTGGGTATGTCTTTACCAGCTGCATGAAAATGGACTAATACAAGCCCAGAAGTACCAAAACCCAAAGTCTATGTAGCAGCATCTCTGGCTGTGGGTTGACCAATGGGGTATTTCTGTTGACTTCTTCTTCATCCCCTCTCCTTTTTCTCTGATGATTTGCCCACATTTTTCAGAAATGGGCTGTGCACCAAAGCTTATTTACATCCTAACTCTAAGACAAACTATGCTTTTTAAAAAGCTGTATAATCTCTGAGGGTGATTTAAAATTTTTTAAATTATACTTTAAAATATATTTTTTATATCTTTTAAAAAATATTTTTTTTTATGTGCAGATCTTGCAGGATTGTTACATAGGTATACACATGGGCATGGTGGTTTGCTGCCTCCATCCCCTGTCACCTACATTAGGTATGTCTCCTAGAATGATTTCAACCAAAAGGCTGAAATCAGAATCCCAGAAGCCAGTATTGAAATTATTTGGGGTGAGTTTATTTTATCCTAAATGATGGGCATTTACTGCCCTTCTTCCCAAGATATGCACACACTCCCATTAGGATAAACACCAGTTTTCAATGAAGTGACCAGGGCAATGTGCAGCAGGTGTTTTTTTCAGCATGAATAGTTCCTGAGGGAAATTTGCACGCAGCATTGCCTGCTCCACATCTGCATGGTATCCACTGGGCACCATGCAGGTGGAAACCAGAATCCGGGTCCATCCTGGCTCTACCCCTCACCACCAGGCTGCTTGACAGCACCCCAGTTTGTACCTGCACTTGGAGAATTGTAAGGATTGGAGAGAAAACAGGGTGAGAACATGTTGAGCAACGCAAAGCACTCTAGAAACATCATTTGCCAGTGTCATGAGTTTTAGCTGTATGGCATGTGAGTGCTAATGCTCTCAAAGGATGGGCTCTGGAAAAGAAATCGGCTGAAACTTAAACAGTGACAAGTGCGTTATGCTTGCTTTAGTTTAAACAACAAAAGCTCTTTTTCTTCTTGCTATAGAAAAGAAAATTGAAATTGAGACCATGAGTGACTTACAGGTGAGTTGGTTCCTCTCTGAGAAGTTCGAAAATGTGTACGGAGGTAGAAATCATCATAACTTTGTTAACAGAGGTGTCCACTTTCTTTCCAAGAGGTATTAGGAGCACTGGCGTTTTTACATTTGATTTTCTTGCTTTTTTTCTCTCTGCCAATTCTGATTCCTCTAATGGAGAAAATACATGATTATCCTAGAGAAAGAGAAAAAAAAGACAATGTTACTAAGGAACAGGCTATTACTAAGGCAAGATTATGATAATGCAGAGAAGTCACATTTAGGAAACTATATAAAGATGTCTGACCCAAGGGAAAAAAATAAGTAAACAGATTCTGTCATGGACGTGGCACTATCTTTTGTAGAAATGGCACACTATTTTCAATTGCAATTTCATGAGTTTTTCAGAAACTAAAATAGCAATTAAAATAATTACATTAATGCTGACATAGACATGTTTGTGTTGTTTGATATTCTTGAAATATTTTAAGTCCTTTGCATAATCAGATTAAGTAACATAAACACAAAACTCTATAGCTAAAGGCCAGTGTGATCCCAGGAGAGACCAGCAACAGCAAATAAATTAATTCTTGTGTAAACTAGAGAGAAAGGAGTTAAGGCTTTGATTGAAGACTTACTATTTTCAAACCATCTTCAAGTTACATTACAGAGATATCTCCTGAAGTGAATCACTGGACACGAGAACTCACATGGCACCCCCTTCATTCCTCCCAAGACCCCATTGAAGGAGGCACATTGTGTGAGTGTGGGAAGACTTGAGCTCCATTTTGAAACAGTTTGCCAATTTCCCCCTCTTTATGACCTTGGGTAAATGACTCCAGCAATTTTGAGCAGGGTGCTGCCTTTCCTACACTATAAAAATGGCTATTATGTCTATCGATCACACAGAGGTGCCACAAGGCTTAATTTATTAGTTAATGTTTGTGTTACACTCCGCAGCTCTTACATGGAAGGTGTTATAGAAATGCAAAGCAGCAATATATTACCTAAACATCTGCCTCCTCAAATAGCTCTCTGGAAGTTTTCATTGCTTCAGCACAAATGATTTCCCCCAAAATGGATAATTTTGTCCAGGTCCTTCTCGGCCCATAAATTGATTCTCCCTCTTTCCAGGGTATAGAGCCTCTGTGCAGAGCACACTTTCCATCTTGTCCCTGAAATGATCACTGTGAATGCACTCTCCCTTTTGTGTGCATTGCAATTACCGACAGTTTCGTTTTCCTCATCACATTTGCCCTCTTCATTCTTCACTCCAAAAAAACTATTATAATTTAACTCTTATCTACACACTTAATTTCATACTTGGACATATTATGTCTCACCCAAGAGCATGGGGTTTTACAATTAGGCACTAAAAACAAATCACTTAAGAAGTTTTTTTAAAATCAAATAAGAAAATGCAAAATAAAAAGTCCAAGTTTGAACATCTTTTGATGAGATGAGATTAACTGCTAAATTGCTAAAGATTATATTGCAGATTGTTTCTGGTAATGTGAATATTATCCATAATTTTCTTAAAAGTAGGTTCTTAATTAAATAACTCTATAGCAAATGGGTATCTATTTATATAGAAATTCCAGAGTTCCAACATTTATTTGCCTGGGATTTAGAAAATTTCTTTTCCAAATACAATTAAAGAGAGAAAATAATAAATTATATCAACATAATGTATTCAAAGGCTTTCTTCATTCCATATTTTTACTTTCACTTCAGTTCTGATACTATTTTTTTATTTGCATATTATTCTTCAACCCTATTGTTTGTGGTGATGGGAGTATCTTAAAATGTACCTGGGATTTTATTTATTTATTCATTTAGTGACAGGGTCTCAGTCTGTTGCCCAGGCTGGAGTGCAGTGGCATAATCATGGTTCACTTGCAGTCTCAACCTTCTGGGCTCAAGCAATCCTTCCTTCTTGGCCTCCCAAATTTGAGTATTACAGGTGTAAGCCACTGTACCCAGCCCGGCAATTTGTCTTAATCAGGTATGGTTGTAATTGCCCAGGTGGGTTCTTCTTGCCCACTGCCCAGAAAAGACAATGCACTGAGAACAGTAAGTGTTCACAGCAAGGAAAGATTTAATCACTGCAGGGTGAGCTAAATGGCATGATGGGAGATAATTCTGAAATCTGCCTCCCTGAGAATTTGGGGACAAGGGTTTTTCAAGGCTAGTTTAGCAAGCAGGGGACTAGGAAATGGGGAATATTGGTAGGTTGGGTTGGAGATGAAATCATAGGGGGTCAACACTGTCTTGGGCTGAGTTAGTTCCTGGGTGTGGGTTACTGGTCCGGGTAGTGGCAGTTGGTTCATACAGAATGCAAGATCTGAAAAATATCTCAAACACTAGTCTTTGGTTTTACAATAGCAATGTTCTCCATAGGGGCAATTGGTGAAGTTATTAATTTTGTGGCTATATGATTCCTGAGTAGTAAGTAGCTTTTAAAAAGCAAGTTATAAAACAATGGCTGGTTAGAGTTTATACACAAATCTTAGCAGAATTCAGGCCCCTAACATAATTGTAACCTTGTGGACTTTCATTAGTTTTACAAAGGTGATTTTGGTCCCCAAGTAAGGAGGGGTTTAGCTTCAGAAAGGATCTGCTATTATCTTTGTCTTAAATTATAAACAAAATTCCTTCCATAGCTAGCTTAGAATGAACAGGGGCAGTTAGCTTGTGAGGTTAAAAGCAAGATGGAGTCAATTATGTCAGATTTCTCTTACTGTCACAATTTTGCAAAGGCAGTTTCATGAAGAGTTTATTACGTACAGGTTCCAAGAGGAGCGGCATCTCATGTTATGTCAGGCCTCAAGAGAAGCGCCCAGGTCAGTCAGGAGGCAGAAGGAAGGAGGGAAATGCCTGGTACTTTTCTGTGGAGAGAAAGGGTAAGGAAGGGAAGGCAAGTTTGAGCAAGCTTAGAATGGGATGGTTTGAATAATGTGGACAGGCTCTAGCCATAGGTGTTGTCTCTACTTGGCCTTGGGGTGATTTAGGCAGGGAAAAATACTGGCCTGGTGTGTGAGAGTGAGATAAAGGTGGTGGTTGCGGATTTGGGCTTTGGATTGGTGGGGTTGTATACAAAAGGTGTGCTCACAGGCAAGCTATCTGCTATCTCTAAGAATGAGCTAACCCCTGGAGGGGCAGTCTCTCCCCAGGTCCACACAGCCCCCACAATGTCAAAACATCATGAAATGCAGAAAAAAAGAACATGATTAATACAGGGGTATCTTCTCTGAAATCTTCCAAGCAAATCTTTAAAATAAGTTTGGCGATATAATTCTTTCTATCTATTGATAAAATATATGCTTTATAAAAAAAAAGTTGTGAAACCAATCATGAAAATTTCTGCCATTGATGAATACTACTACGTCTAGCAATTGACGAAACACTACATATGTGACCTGAATTGAAGTATTAAACTATAAAAGAAAGCTAAATCAAAAATAAAAGCTCACATTGCCTCCTGCCCTTATTTATTTGTTGTTTGCAAGAGGCAGATCCAGGGGGCTTGGAAAGAGGTAAATCAGCATTTTATTCTTTCTAGACAGAGCTGAGTCAGCCTCTCAGCACTCATGTGTGGTGTTGTGAGGCTGCTCACTTAAGTGCATAATCTGCCATGTTGGGCAGTTCATTGGCCTATTTGAATGAGTTCTGGCATTGTTCAGCAGCTCAGCTCAGTGACTCTAACTGAAAGGCCTTCCATATATGTCCTCGGTTTGTGGGAAAGCATCCTTCAACTGGCAGTATGCAGGCAGTTACTACCTGGCATATGTACCACCACTTCCCAAACCATATCGATGGCAGGTATCGTTTTGTTTGAGCAAGGATGCAACCTCAGAAACTCTCTCAACACAGTGTTCTGGGAAATTCACATCCAAGTTTCATAGGTTGGCATAATAGATGAAACATATTTATTTGCCATCTGATATGGTTTGGCTGTCTCCCCACCCAAATCTCATCTTTAATTGTAGCTCCCATAATTCTCACATGTCATGGGAGGGACCTGGTTGGAGGTAATTGAATCACATTGACAGGTCTTTTCCATGCTGTTCTCATAGTGAATAAGTCTCACAAGAGCTGATGGTTTTATAAAGGGGAGTTCCCCTGCACACGCTCTCCTGTCTGGGACCATGTATGACGTGCCCTTGCTCCTCCTTTGCCTTCCACCATGATTGCGAGGCCTCCCCAGCCATGTGGAACTGTGAGTCCATTACACCTCTTTTTTCTTAATGAATTACTCAGTTGGGGTATGTCTTTATTAGCAGCATGAGAACAAACTAATACACCACCTTTAGAGAGAAGAATGAAGAATCTATCTTCATACATAATTACAACTACTTTTTAGAATGTTGTAGATTGAAAGATAATTAGTTACTGTTCACTGATTAAAGAAACTCAGACATAATTTGATGTTTACATGTTTATAAAAGATAATTGTCTCATGAAACGTGTAATATACACTCCTGCTGATGAACTCAGGCCTTTTCCCCATCAGCTTCAGATGGGCATCTCTTGCTTTGGACAGCACAACATCTCCTAGTGCCACTTTCCTGTGATACCAGGATCACTCATTCCTATGGGGACCCAATTCCATAGGTGTGGTGTGGTTTGGTTGGAACCTCTGTTGCCAACCTTCACCTCCCTGCATCCCTCCAACCTCCCCACCGCCACCCCAAATTGTACAGGAGTAGGCAGCTAGATAACAATACTGCTCTATCCATAGTGACTGCTTCTAGGCTGAGCTAGTGTAGAAGCTCTTCCCCAAACTCCTCTGCTGGAGCAACAGGGGGAGACAATTTCTGCTGGAGGTGCTAGGCTAGGAGGGTGATAGGGTTTGGGTCTGTGTCCCCACTCAAATGTCATGTTGAATTGTAATCCCTAATGTTGGCAGTGGGGCCTGATGGGAGGTGACTGGATCATGGGGATGGGTTCTGATGGTCCAGTACCATCTTGCTAGTGCTGTCTGGTGACAGAGTTCTCCTGAGATCTGGTTGTTTGAAAGTGTGTAGCAACCCCCTCTCAGCCTTCCTCCTGCTCTGGGCATATGAAGACCATGCCTGATTTCCCTTCCCCTTATGCCATAAGTTTCCTAAGGCCTCCCCAGAAGCAGAAGTCTGTACATCCTGCAGAACTGTGAGCTAATTAAATCTCTTCTTTATAAATTACCCAGTCT